ATTTAGCATGATTGTCTGAGGATAGATTACTAGTAGGAGACTGACTGGGTTAAAATTTATAATCATTTTTAAATCTCTGAAACTTCTCACACAATTGCTTTCTAAAAAGGAAGTACCAAGTCCTTTTGCATATTCAGTATGTGTCAACTCATTGGCCCTTTTCAAACAAACTAACAGGTATATAGGCACATGAAAATGCTTGAAAAATGTATCAGTTCTGCTAACACAGACTTTCCTCATCCCTTAGTCTACTTTAAGTTTTTAAATTGTGATGGTGACAACAATTTATCTCTTTCCTTAGATTCATGTGCATACATGTATTACATAAATGGATTTGGAAAGAGTGGTAACTGAACAAAAATTGCAGTCTAGTTAATAAAATTGCCAAGTGACTGGAATCACCATAAGATATGCCTATACTCAAAACCTGTTGCTTTCTTTTTTAGATAGATGTCACTTTAAAATATTTTTACATTCAAAAAAAGAAAGAGAGCTTTCTGTTTATCTGCTGTTTAGACCCGGAACAGATAAAACACAAAAATATTTTACAGTTAATATGAAAAATATTGAAAATATTTTATATTTATATTAACACACACATATACATATATATTAAGAGATTTAAACTATTATCTGTCTCAGTTTCTGAAACTAATTACCAAACTTTCAAGTGAGGAATAGCATTTAGGTCAGAATGAAAAACAACTTTAAATCAAATCTTTCATCTATTGAATTTTATCAACTGAGAGACCTGAAAACAAAGATTGGCATACTTGGGCCAAATTTGGCGGCATGTGTGCCAAGAATGGTTTTTACATTTAAAAAAAATTGGGGGGGGGGCTGTAGATGGAAACATACCTCCATCTTATTTATTTATTTTTATATGGTGCTGAGGATCGAATCCAGTGCCTCACACATGCCAGGCTCGTGCTCTACCACTAAGCTATAACCCCAGCCCCGGTTTTTACATTTTTAAGGGCTGAAAAAAAATAAAAAGATTTCATAATGTATGAAAATAATATGAAATTAAAAATTGACTTTGTCCACAACCAACTTCCATTGGAACACAGCCACATTCATTCACTTATGCATCACCCTGTGGGTGCTTGCAGAGTTGAGTAGCTCTGTGATGGAGACTGTAAGACTTTTAAACTTAAAATATTCACTTTCTGGCTGTCTAAAGAAAATGCTTGCCAATCTCTGCTTAAAGCAATGTAGGATTTATATTTCTCTTATTATGTCTGTTTAAAGTATTTTCCTAAGATGCTCTGCTGCTCATCAAAATTAATTCTTACCTTGTTACATTTGCATTTTTAAATTTGCTGTTTTCATCAACTTATAAAGCTGTTTTTTAATATTAATTTTGGAGAAATATTTTTATTACTTTCTATAGATGTAGCTAGAGCCTATTTCCACCTACTGGATGATTTAATTACTAAAATTAAGTCATTGGTAACTGGAATTCTGCAATTCTGGAAAATATGTGCATAATTCAGAAAGCATGTATATTTGAGGATAAAAAGCATATGTAAATCCTTACACACAAAGCAGAGACATTCCTATCCCCCACAGTTTTGTCAACCAACAGTGTTCTCTATCAGCCAGAAAAGGCTAATTGTAGCAGCCTATACACAAACCCTACTAGTTGGTGAAGGTGCCACTGTATCCAGTTTGGCTAAATTAAGCAAAGCTTCCCTCAACTCTGCTGCATACACTGCTCATATTGTGGGAAGAGATTCCATAAACTCACACTTCAGTGCTTAAGTTCAGCTCTGCACAACGCAAAGCACTTCTTTGAAGACAAACCCTTGCCTGGTTGTTTTCATTCAACCTGATCTGAAGTCTACTGAACTGGGATGTTTAAGGGCCCTTTGTGGTGGCATCTATGATTCTGTGCAGCTGAACATGGTCAATTATTCCCTAGGAAATAGTTTTGTTCTTCCTTTGTTTATTTAGGCAAGAAATTGTTGTGGGATATCCAGCATTTTAAGTGACTCTGCCTCAAAGCATGTGTTAGAAACTATAAGGAGAGTTTATGACTTCTCAATTCTAAAAGGTTTCTCAGCTTCGGGTTTCTGGAATTGGTTGTGTCCATGTTTCTTCCCACCCTTCTGGGACTTAATGTTGTTAGCAACCTCCTGTGTGGTTCTAAGATATCTTGACCTCTTTGAAACCTTTCCAGGTGTCATTGCCACTTTCTTGATCTCTGCAATATAAGCTACATTGTTTAGTGGAGTTAAGTTCTATGAACTTTAGAAATTCTCCCTGAGACTATGAATTGACTAACACCCAAGGCAGCATAAACATTCAGACACAAATGTTCCTAAAACCAAGCTTGCTGGGCAATGCAGGATATGACTAGGAGTCTGGAAAAAGGAACATTTTGCTCACTTGTGCATCTCTGACTAGCTCCAGGTGCAGTTTGAAGCTAAGTGGCTAGTTTTTCTGATCCTCAGATATAACCTCTCATTAGAACAAGCAGAAGTTGCAACTGTGAATGTAAGGAATTCCACGAAGACCCTCTGGGCCTATTAAGACTGCTGGCTTCAGAGGTTCTTAAAATACACTTACTTCAGCACACACAGTTAGTAGTTTTCTGTAAATTTAATTTTAACTGAAAGAGAATTATAGTGACTGAAGCTCATCTCAAAAATTTGAATATGGAGTATGCAGTTACAACTTCAAAAGAAAAACAAAAGTTTAACTGATACCGTCTATGTTTCCTATTTTTCATTAAAAGGTTCTTATTGTTGGGCTGGGGTTGTGGCTCAGCGATAGAGTGCTTGCTTAGCACGTGTGAGGTACTAAGTTCATTTCTCAGCACAACATATAAATAAATGAATAAATAAAGGTCCATCAACATCTAAAAAATGTATTTAAAAAAAGGTTCTTATTGTTTTTGGTAATACAACTAAGACTTTGCAAGTAATGCAGTTTTGGTAATACAGTTAAATATTTACTTGGACTAAGAATCTGGTTTCAGTCTAGCTTTAGACTTGCATAGTCTATTCTATCAGATTGCTCAGCCCTTATCTTAAACCTTAAGATTTGCTAACACATGAATCATGCTGTCCAAACCCAGGGGAATGAGACAATGCTGTGGAAATGACACCAGGTATATGGAGAATCAAGAGATATGTCTTCTTGTCTAAAAATATGTGTAATAAATAATACAAACAACAGGAATATTGTGAAAACCAGCAATAAATACAAAAGTCTTGAAAATGTGGAAAAGGGCATAAATATGAAAGATATAGTGGCTGACAGTGATTGTTCATTTTTTTCGCCCACTGACCTCTCCCCACCCAGAAACTGTATGTCTCCACAATCCCAAGTCAGCTGTTCTTGTGATCATCCTTTCCATCCTGGATCCAGTGTCCAGGGAATCCTGAAGGTCATGGAGGGCAATGCTAGTTATGCATCTTCACATGGCCATGAGCAAGGTTAAGTTTCTTCTGCTTTGGTTTCTGTTGGCTGAGGCCTGCAGTTAGCTGTGTGTACACGGGCAAACTGGCTACAGGTATGGTGTACAGTCACACATTACTGCAGCTCCTCAGAGGCTTCTTTCCTGCTACTAACAATAGTTAATTGCTGGGAATGCAATTATCATGGAAATCTTTATTAGATCTAAAAGGCTATACAAGAAGTGTAATAGGGGATTATAGATGTGTGGATTTTTCCCCCCAACTGTGTTCTTTCACTTTTGCAATCAACAGGAAAAAAATATCAAAAAGAAGCTTAATTTTGAAATAAACATGATGTCCTTTAGCTATGTTCCAAGAGGCAACCAACTTAAAAACTCTCTAACATGGACATTTCTCAAGAAGAAAAATTAGAAAAAAAAGGGCATGTGACCACCCTGAAAATATGAGTGCACTATCATATTTTGTGACACGTTCTTGCAAGAACTTTTGTTAAAAAAGATTTATATAGTTTTAATGTCCTGTCAGATCAATTTGAATTAAATATATTTAAATAAGAAATATTACCGTATATCTACTTCTCTAAATTTTATAACAGTGTGGCAATCTGATGAATGAAACAAGAAATCAGAATCTAGCTACTGGGGGAAAAATAAAGACGTAGCCTGAGGGTATAACATATTCTGAAGCTGGCCTATAGACCAGATGGGAAACTTGTTCTCTAATCTAATGACTTTCTTTTAATCATAAGCAGACAGTTATTACTCAGAGTTTTAGAAATACATTATTCTTCAGAGTACTTCTTAGGATTTCTTTTACTCATTTAAGACCACAACTTTATATTTAATTCATCCTTGTATTATCCCTGTAGGGCACGTCTCTAATTATTCCCATCTAAAGTGACAGGAAAATGGAATTATACTATTGGAAAACAGGCATCCTTTGATATGTCTCTTCTTGATGCTCCCTTAGGCAGTCTGTCATTGTGCTCACCGCATACAGATTTTGAGCTGTCCTTAGAGAGCACAGACTGTGACTTCCATGTCTTTGTATACCCAGTGCCTAGCATGTGCCTGATACAGAGTAAGCACACAGAAAAAATCTGAATAAATGAATGAATGATAGTGCTCAACATATAATGCTTACTGTATACCAAACACTAGTCTAGTGCTTTACATATTAGCTATTTAGTCCTCACAACCCTCTGGAAGAGGTATTGTTTTTTATTTCCATTCTACGTATAAGTAAATGAAGCAGAGAAAACAGAGCAAGGTTCTGCAGAGCCAGGATGCAGACCCACATGCTTTGGCTCTAGAGTCCCATCTTTTAACCACTACAACCCTGATGCCCCATCAGTACCCTTCTCAACAGGAAAATGCTCCATTCCAGGAGAAGCCTGTACTAGGATATACTAGGCCCTACCTCTAAACATTCTGGGTTTCCATCAGATGTAGATAACCTGTGTGGTTCTTTGGGAGATTTAAACAAGGAAATAGCTGGACACAGGCACACAAATGCAAAATAAATGAATCTTCAGCCTTAACAATCGCTGTGTTTGTAAGGCTGTTTCTCAAATACCTGTGGGGATTTGTGAGAGCGCCAGCTGTACTGGTGACTGTGGAGACTCGCCAGCAGAATATTTTCGTCAGTATCCACCTGGCCAAACCGCAGTGTCTCCTGTGTGTCATTACAGATCACAAAATGGCTGAAGACCAACTCCTCTACCTCAGGGCATTTGTTCTGAAAGAAAAAGAATATGAAAACCAACGTGTATCAGATTAATTGCAAGATGTTTGGCAGCTGTCTGCCCAGTGGCCATTGTTATAACACAGAAACCCTAAGGATCTGTTGTCATTAGCTCTGGTATACAAAATATTCTATACTTCCAGGATAAGCACACAAAAAAAAATCTTAAAGAGATCATAAATGTTCCAAGAATGTGTTTTGATTTATATTCCTACAAAATAAATCATACACACAGAAGAGTAAAAGAACAATGAGATCCCTTTTAACATTTCTCAAAATGTATTAACATACTACAAAGAGTGCTGGACTGGGTAGTGCACGTTTCTGAGAAGTATACTAGCGGCTAGAATTACCATGTCCCCAGCCCTCTAAACTCAACAATCAAGACCAATTAGCAAAGCCACAGTTTGTACCCTACAGAAAGTAAGGATCATTTAGGTAATACATCCCCAGATCCCTGAAGCGGGAGGGTGGATATGTGTGTAAATCTGTTCAGGGAGAGACATAAATAAAAGCATTACTTTCTCCGTATTGTTAAGAGGCTGAACACACAAAACAGATCAACTCCAGAGTCAGTTTAAGCCAAATTGTAGTTTTCAAGAGAAATAATGTTAGTTGAAAAAACAGTTTCCAGTACCTCAGCTAATATTCATCAGTTAATATTCTTCATTAATCTGCTAAGTTTCAGCAAATTAGTAATAATGTTCCTGTGTTGACACCTCTTTTTTGACTAAATGGGGGCTTCATCAGCTGCTTTTACAGCAATACACTGGCACAGTGATAGAGGACTTCTGTGATTATACTTTCATCATTCTGGTTAGGGTATGGTTTAAAAAACAGGAAATATTTTGGTAAACTAATAGTTTAGTTAAGTAAATTGAGAATATAAGGAAAAAATCATAATTAGCTAATCAATTTGCTGATGATGGGAGATACTATGCAACGGATGCTTCTGCAATTGGCTTCTCTCTATTTCCTGGCTGTGGCTCTAATGAACACCACAATGCCATGCTTTACTCTTCACCACTTTACTGAGGTGAGGAAGAGTCAAATGGATTGGAATTCAGAAGCACAATGATTTAAGCAACAGGGAGGTGTGAAGCCAAGGATGAATGTATCTGGAACCAGCAAGGTTGGAGACCATACCTAGAACTTCCTCAAGGAACAGTCATTTTGGGAAACAGAATTCACTCCTAGTCACGCATATTGTCCCTGCAGTAGGTGGCAGGCACTATTCCTGCAGCTGGAGAAGAGGCCCCAATAAGCCTTATTCTTCTGGTGGCCCTTGAGGACTTCTAAGCTCTCTATCATCCATCTATTTTCACCAAACCCTGCTTGAGAGTCACATTAGTGACAAAAAGAATCTGGCTGAGACTAAAGTACTTTTAAGCAACCTGTTTCTACCATAATGTTCTCTGTTGTTGCTCTTGATCATTAGCTATGAGTTCAAAACTTGCCTGCCACCAGGTTTTAGACATCCAGTCTCACTCATGGGCCCTGCCCATGGCTCTCTGTCTGCAACTTGAACTACTTCCCATTTGCTGATGATGCTTGTTCAGGACACCCCAACTCTACCAGTCTTTTTTCCATTTTTCCAAAACTACCCTGGTCTCCTCTCAATTTATCCAACATATCAAACTGCTTTCTGCCTCACTGCCTTCTCTCTGCTGGGACCTCTTTGCCCCTAACTCTTGCCTGACTAACTTGCTTCTAATTTTTAGGTTCATCTTGAAAGGTCACTTCCTCAGAGGAGCCTTTTGAGATCCTCCCCTGACCAGACCAGGTTTCCTTATTTTATACCTACATGACACTCTAATTCACCTTTCAGAGCACTTGTTAATTTGCACCATCCTGGGCTCAATATTGTCTCCATAATTAGACTATGCTATAAAAGAGCTGGAACCCTATGTGTATTATTTACAACTTCAACGCTAGTACCCAGCACAATGTCTAATACATAAGTACTCAATCGACACTTAGGAAATACAAAAAATAAAGTAGATTAAATTTTTTAAGTTATATGTTCAGCATATTAGAAGACAAGAAAGTACGAATTTAAAAAACCCTTTAATTTTGCAATCAGCAATAAGGCTATTAACATTTTGGTGAATTTTCTTCAAGGAATTTTTTTCTCTTCTGAATATTCTGGTTACTATTCTAATCTATCCTATCTGATCTGATCTTATATATTTATCTACAAACCTCTAATCAAACTGGAATCATAGTGTATAATTAGTTTTGATGAGATTTTTCCATTTAGTATTATATAATCAACATAAACTGCTCTCCTTATAAACATTTTTCTCTCCTTTCCATCCAAGAGTACAAACATGAAGGAAGGGATATGATTCCAATCTCTCACTTAGTTACACATCCTGAGATTAGAATTCAGTTTTCATAATGAATTGGGATCAATCTCAACACAGAGGTTAAGTTACCAGATGGAGCTTGAGTAGAAAAAAATTGTATTACTTTCCTCATCTTTAAAAACTGACCTTTAATAAATGATGAGGGTTTTAGGAAAAAATGTAAATTAAAGAACACAAGGGGGTTGTTTACATTTTTCTAAAGAATACTCAAAGTCCTCAGGGAACTATTTCTTTACTGCTCCTTCATCTGTGGAGTTCATTATAACTACAATAAGTTTAAGCATATCTTGGAATGTTTTAAATTCTGTATTATAAAAGAGCTCATTCACATTTGCTGTGACATCATATATGCTGAGCTTGAGAATGTTCACTACGGTTTATAGTTAAAAGTTGACTTATTCATATTTAAGTTTCATGAAATTAAGCAGAGATACTGTTTTGTATAAAGGAAGATATATGAATATAATCTTGATTTTTGAGTAATCCCTTCAAATGCTATTTTGTTCAAATCTAGGAATGTGACAGAAATATAAAGCAAACTCACAATGGCATTTTGAGTCATTTAATTCAGTTTCACTAAACAGTCATCATGTATAAGACAGAGGAAAAAAGAAAGAAAAAAAGGAAGGAAGGAAAGAAGGAAGAAAGGAAGAAAGACCTACAGTCAGAGAAATCAAACTTTAAAGAAGGTTTCTGTTAATCTTGAATTCATGACCTAAAGGTAAAAGGCCAAACTGTTTCATTCTTTAACTCTCTGGTCCATCTATACTGGGTAAAAATGACTAGTCTCTGATATGAATCTGATAAAAAGTATTGTGGAGAACTCAAATCACTTTTCCTACTTATTAAATTCATTTTTTCTCTGTGGCAACAATTGCACTATCTGTGAACACTATATACATAATAAAACCCAAATTTTGGAAATTAAACTTCCCTAAAAAGAGGGTAAACCACATTGAGACCATCTTAGAAAAAATGAACTTAATAAACTTCCATCAGCCCATTTCAATGTCAAACATTCTATAATTTCAAAGTAGTGCACTTTCATATTTACTTTAGAATACACAGGGTTAGAAGCATACCACATTAAAACTTGGTGGTAAGTACCCTTGACATGGGAGGAAACAAGAAAATTACAGCAACAATTACAGAAGTATATCCTCTTGTGGCTCATGTTAACATTGCCAAATCCCTGTATAAATCAGAACCAACTATTCATAGAATGTACCTGTCAGCAATATGCTACGTGACATATGGCTCTACTTAATCAAATATACAATTCCTCAAAAAAATTCAGAATATTCCTTCAAGGCACTGTGTTAGCCAGTCAGTCATTCACACTCTGATGTGGTTTAAAACATTTAAATATTTATGCACCATATTTTATTTATATGTATAGCTGTGTCTATGAGAATATTCCCTGGAAGGAAACTGATATTTCTGAAAGCCATTTTGCAGTAGTTGCTACACATGAGTCCTCTTATAATGGCTCTGATACCAAGACAAAAATATCCTGGGTTTAAATGCTGTATCAATGACTCTTTTATATTTTCTAGGTTTGTTTTTTATTAAATACATTGTTCAAAATATGACAAAATAACAGGAATTGGAGCCATGAAGGTTTTTTTCACACTGCTATTTGAACCAGCTGCAAAGATTTAGATCACACTAGCTCTTATTTTACGCATGTCCTTTGCAACAAGAAAACCATGGAATGCCCTTAAAAAAGATTTTTAAAATATAAAACAGATGTGTTATCTTCTTTTCCTTTGCTATTATAGTACCACGTTAGGTAATTAATTCCTTAGTCTTGTATAGGTCTTCATGCATATAAAGAAAAACATTAAATTTTATTTCCAGAAAATTTAATTGTCATAAAAATTCTGAAGTTATAGGACTAAAAATTCTTTTTAAAAATTACTTATTTCATAAAATTTATTTTCATGAAAATTCTTACTGCCCTAAAAATCTCCCCCCCAATTCTTTTTACTTACTCCCATAAAAATTTTTGAGTTAGAGAACTAAAGCCCCTTCCCTCACCCTTTAGTGCCTCTGTTCCTTCAAGAGAGAAGGTAGGAGGAAGGACCATTCCTTCTGGGGAGCCAGCTCCACACAAGTGTTTGTAACATACATAAAATGTGGGAAATGTCTCACTTTACATAGCAACCAAACATGATGGAGATACAATATATCTGTGAAAGCAGAAATGATTTGTTGTTAAATTGCTGAACATATTATCAGCTAAACATTCTGTGAAATTACTTCCATGCTAGTTAGACATGAACAAGTTTCCCATTTTAAATATGTAATTCAGCAAAGACATATACTTTGTCCCTATTTGATATGGATAATTTCTTATTATAGATATAAATAAATTAATGAAGTAACCAAGAGTCTCTGAGGGGTCCCCAAAATCCATTATCCAGTGCTTTATTTAGAGAGTCAATAAGCCAGAAAGATAGTAGAGGAAAAGACTAGAACTGTGCTGTGCTCACAGATGCCATCCTACTTGTCTTTTGTGTAAGAAGCTGGAATACTATGATAAGGAAGGCTCACAAAGGTTCTTCTTTCATTTTTGGTACATGGCTAAGTTGAAGCTTTAGCAAAATAAGGGCACAGAGTACTTGGAGAAAATTTCTGGGAATATGTTAATTTCCACACAGTTTTGGGACATTCGTCATAAAAATGTGGGCACGATCCCTGATGTGTGTGTAAAGAACTCATATTCTTGAAAGTTAAAAAAACAAAACAAAACAACAACAACAACAAATGCATCATTTTGCCCAAACAGAGAAGGCTCCAAATATTATGGTGCACATCAAATTCCTCACTCTCTCACATTTTTGTGTTTATCTTATAATTAGAAGTGATAACATACAGTACCTAATAAAAGATCATATGTAGCCAAACTGTAAACTGTTCTGGAATGTGCATACCTGTTGCCAAGCTTGTACTGCAGTGTTTAGAGAATGAACTACATGCTGTCCAAAGTTTATAAATATGGAGTCCACTGTCAAGGTGCAGTCAAGCAGCTTTCCCACTGCATCACTGGAAACTGCAATTTGTCCAAAGATGCTGAAAGGCTTTACTACACTTTGCATTGTAACATTTCTGCATTCTAGAAGTTTACAGTCTGCTTGAGCTGAGAACCGGATCTCCTGGCAGATAGAACCATTATTCCATTGTCGAAAATACATGTGTGGTTCTCTGAAGGAAACAATCATGTATTCTAGTTCAGATGGTATATTTTTATCAAAAATGAATGGCTGTAGGTATTGTGGTGAAGCTGTTGAGAAAGAAACAAAAAAGCCAGGAATTAAGATGAGTCAATAGTTATACAAATAAAGAAATGATGTAAAAATTACCCACTTTTTGGTTATGAATTTAGTATTTAATAAATTCAAAAATTCTCTTGAAGATATTAAAATCTTTGAATTTTGTTTCATATTTGAAAATAAAATTGTTTTGTTCAATTAGGTCTCTTAATGTATACTGTCTAAAGGTTACTTTCACTAACAGACAAAAAATTTAACTGCAGAGAACAACGAATAAAACAGAGGAGGAAACTATATACATTTTTGTATCTACCAAACAGATCTCAAAAACAAAAATAAAAACAAGACTCACAGAAAAAGCAGAAGCAGGTTCAACTTTAGTTTTGCTGAAAAGGCAAGATGCTTAACAGCAGCTATGTTTGGTTTTAATCTGATTTCCTCCCTCTTTTTCCATTACATGTCAGGAATCAAAATGTTTTAACTGACATGTAAATCAAAATGTATTAACTAAAAAAGATTTGGTACAGAATATAATGCTTTAGAAATGATTATCCAAGTAACATTAGAAAATTTATAAAAGCCACTTTTGGTATGTGGGGAAATCATCTTCCTTCTAAACTTATAGAAATGTGACTCCTTTAGACTAAATTAAGAATGGGTTCACCATTTGTAGAAGGTACTCAGGCAGTATCAAGTGCTGTTGGAATTTATTTGCCACTAATTCGATAGCTCAGGATACAGAACAAAACCAGATGTGTTTCTGTCAAAAAGATCATAATTAAATTAATTATTAATGTTAAATTAATATTAAAACCTGCTGTTTTAAAAAATTTCTTGAAAATTCTCTTAGGAAGCATGCCAAAATGTGTGTCAGCTCAATACCATTGATAACTTACAGGTGTATAAGCTGGTTTAAAAGTAGGGGGTATACTTTTTGTACCAGAGCAACTTCAGAATAACTGCCAGTACTCACTTCATACTTCCTGGAAATAAGTCAGCTGGGTCAAAATTGATGAACTGTATCTTAAGAGCACTTAAGTGAATGTTGTCCTGATGTTAAAGGAAAAAGTACCTGTGCCTAGTTGATCAAGATGATGACAGAGATGGAACTCCAGGTGAGCAAACTGGAAGGACATGCAAAGAGACGGTACAAACCACGGGGTAAAACAGGAGTCAACTCTGGTACAGGCGGCCAGGGCTGTTGGAGTTACAAGCTGATCACAAGTGCTTTGAGAACCAGATTCACTTGCAGAGCTATAGGAAATAAGTAATAGGAAAAGTTTGATAACAGATTTTCTAATATCATATAAATATAATGTTTTTCCTATATGAATTCCTAAAGTGGGCCCAAAAAATTGTAGTCAAGATATTATCATCAAATCTTCTATATATACTCACATAAATTAGTTTAAAAAATAATTAAGTTCATGTTGACTTATCGTATGTGGATTGTTGGGAGAATATTGTCAAAGGATTCCTTCAGGTCATAATGACCTAGCTCCAACCTAATTTTATTCTCCATACATTTATAAAACTTATGGACAATTTGTTCTCATATTAGTTTAAGACCAACACAATTCAAAGCATGATTCTGCTTCTCCAAAATCTATTGGGCTGGGATTGTGGCTCAGTGGTACAGCACTTGCCTAGCATGTGTGAGGCACTGGGTTTGATCCTCAGCACCACATTAAAATAAATAACTAAAATAAAAGCATTGTACCAATCTACAACTAAAAAAATTGTTTAAAAAAAACCCCTCAGTATTATCAGTGCTCTACTTCTTCATATTCCCATGAGTCAGTCAGTACTCTTTATTGAACACCCAGTGAATATTGTACTAGATAACATAAAAGTTATGACCATGTCCAAAGAATGAGGGTCTCATGGACAATATTGCATGGGTCCTCTCTTCACTTGCTCATTCTCTTGACATTATTTCATACAAGTAGGTATGACTACATGAGTATTGAAGGCATCCACAAGAGGATAGCTCCTGGTATGTGCATGGGAAGCATGAACAGACTGCATTAGTGCTAGTGGGAGTATGAGAACTGGGGATTAGAGTAAAGGAGGAGAACAAGATGCATACTGTTAATTGTGGATCAATAAATAGATGCTGCCCCTTTCCTGATCTCCATTCCTGCCTTTTCAATTGAATTTGCTCTATAGTTCTGACTTACAAATCTATGAGGAGCCTAGAGAACATCACTGTGATTTATAGTATATTTGAGAGAACTATGCCAGGAAAAACTAGGGAGATACATTCTTGGTTTTTCAAAGAATTCATAATCTAACTGGTGATACCCAATTCATAGATGTTTGCAAACATTATAAAACATCATCTGGAAATGGGAGAGTCAAAGTGCTGACAGAGTGGATACCTAAGAGGAACTTGAAATGGCATAGGATGAATCACAATGGATTCTCTGAGGTGTGAATCTTCAGATGGGTTTTGAAAATGGTTATGAAAAAGGTTGGTGAAAATGAAAGCTAGAAGCATTCCAATGTGTTTACTGAATTGTTTAACCTCAAAGTGTTTTTAGTTATATGGTGGTATTTATTGCAATGCCAGTAAATCTCCATAGCACACAAAGAAAATACAAACTCTGGGGCAATATGTTACTAACTAAATACTATACACAAAAATGCAGCTAAGATATTCTTAAAACATCTATAAGTGGGCACACTATTTAATTTAAATACATTTCTAGGACTTTATGGAATTTCAAATAAAAGATTTCCTTGGCAAGGTAAAATTAATTTTTATTTATTCAGAAACAGTAAACTGTATTAGTTGTTCACACATTTGAGCTCTTTCCCTTATACTAAAGATGTTGTAAAAAATAGGGTACAAAGTTAGTAAAAATATTATTAAAAATAGAGGCAAGAGTTCTACAGATCAGTTTTAAAACACAATTTGAGGTGTTTATCTGAAGCATTTTTCTTGCCAACTACAATTTTTGGCACCACAACATTTTCCAAGTTTATTTTTTTTATCTGTAGAGATCAGCAGATATTATAACATATTAGAAAAGGTTGTGAAAACATCATGAGTATCTGCCATAATCTTCTTTAAAACAAACTGATTAATTCTTCACTTTTTTTCTAGATTAAACACATAATCAGTATATTAGAAAGAAATTTTTAAAGTATACATAGTAACTCCTAAATCATAAAATCATACTCATGTGATCAGCAATACTCTCTTCAATCTTGAAATTCTGACTAAAATGGTTACTAGGTTAATCTATTTCAGAAATTTAGGCTTAAGACATATCAAAAATAAACATTTCTTAAACATAAAATTAACATGGAATATATAATGTGAATGTTCTTTAACTGTACTTTGAATCAGTTCATTTGTAAGTTTCTGATACTATAAATTTGATTACCACTACATGCTAAAATGTTATCTGCTTACCTTTTACATAAGAATTGAAAAGATCTCAGTGAGAAAGAACTAAATAGTCATAAATATGAGTTATGACCTTCTAGAAACTTATAGTTGCTAAATTTTTATAATTTTTTGCATTAGGTACAGTGGACTTTGACCTGATAGAGAACTCTCACAAGTGTACATTAATGAGATATACAATAGGCAGAATAGAGAAGAAAGTTTTAAAAAGTCAAAAAATTTCAGCCTATGGTATTTATATTCCAACCCTTTCCTTTTTCCAAAAAAGATTTTCAAAACAGGTCAATTTCAGGCCAAAGACTTCTAACATGGTGGGAAATGGCTCCTAGAAGCAAGACCTCTAGTAATAGAGCTCAAGATCCAGGAGTTTGTTCAACCATTGTAAGTTCAGTGCAAAATCAATTTTTTTTTCAGCAATGAAACATTCTGAATGCTGGGAGTTTTATCCACATATAACTTCAGTTTAGCTCAAGGGCACCTTATCAGCTATGCTGGTGGCCTACATTTAGATGTAGATTGAATCTACCTTAATGGCACTGTGAGGACCCAGGCATATCCCCTAAAGATTCACCCCTGTGTGCCATCTGAGATGAACCCCTACAACACAGCAGGGGTGTGACACAACTGATGAAGACCTGAGCTGTTTTCTGGATCCTCCTGTGGCATTAAGTTTTACTATACAGCATAATAGAGCATACAGGCTCAACAAAGAATGACGAGGGTGAGAGAACCTGTGTCAAAACACATGCCCTGCGATCATTTGTACTGCACTTAATGTTGGGTAGGTTATTTCATTGGGCTAAATGTTAGTTTTCCCATTTGTAAAATGAGTACAGTAACTAGACTTACTTTTTGAGATTAAATGAGACACTGCGTACTACTTAGCATAATGGCTAGCATTTAATAATAGGAAAAAAAATCCTGTTCCTTGCTGTCTAAACAAGGTACAATACTGGATAACTGTTGAAAATTATCTCAATGGGCACTGCCTCTCAACAATGGTTCACATAAACATTCTCCTGCTCACTGTATTAACACTGCTCTGTTCATCCTGGGAGAGTCACAAACAGATGACAAGACATGGGAGGAAGTGTGTGCTTGCCATAACACATGCCCTCTGGTCCTTACAGTTGTAGTTTCTCAAATGTCTTAACCCTACCCAACATAAAAAATACACCTTTATTGAAACACTGTAAACACATGTAAAATGGGAGGGGAGTTTTCCAAAAAGATGACACATACTGATATTTTATATTGTTACTGTATCATAAAATTTATCATTTGAACCATTTTAAAGTATGTGGTTAGTGGCATTAAACACATTAATTTTTGTGCAACCATCATCATCACCCATCTCTAGAACATTTTATTTTCCCAAACTGAAACTCTATACCCCCTTAAATAATCACTCCCCATTCTCCCTGATCTCCAGCCCTAGCAACCACTATTTTACATTCAGTCTCTATAAAATGGACTACTCAGGACCACATGTAAGTGGAATCATATGTCTTTTTTTTTTCTATTTTATCCTATTTTATTAAAAAATTTCATTTGCAATCTGCTAAATTCTCTCATAACCCACTAATGGACTGTATTCTGTAGTTTGAAAATCAACTTCAAATGGGTCCTCAGGTAAAGAGTTCCTTTAAATTTAGCTAGAGAGAAGAAGAGAGAATGCACACACAAGATGTAGAAATATCTCCCAAGATTCTTAGAATAAGCAACGTGATACAGAGACATTCTTAGTATTATCAGCCTAGAACTTTAAATGAGACCTGAGGGATACCAAGTACTTCAGGGAATGTGTATCAAAGACTATGTGGCAAAGAACCAAACCCCTGCAGGATTCCTGTGTAGACTTAGGTCATTAACTAAAAGGAAGTAGTCAAGGGCCTCAAGAGTATACTTGGGGAAAAAACTGCCAAGGAAGAAAGGCAGAAATTCATGTTTAGCCCTAGGAAAGAATAAAACTTTTCTGGATATATCCTGGAGTATATTATTGTATGACTAGAAACACAGGTGTCTAAAGCAATTCCAAATGTCAAGATTTATGTCTAAATGGCTTACAACATTCAAATTTTGATTAAAATAGAAAAGTTGCCCCCCAAATTTTGGTGTATATAAAAGAGGATTTGAGTAGCCGAATAGAGGGGAAGCACCTGGAGGCCACAGTCATTTCCTCATAGAAGGTGGAGAGAGAAACTTAGGGACTTAGCAATCATTGATCTCTCTTCCATTGCCTGTATTTGTGAGGGTCAGTGCTTTTAGAAATGAAACCAGTTCCTCCTCCCATACAAAAGATGTGGGTCACTGTCTCAATGATTATGGGAGATAAGTGGACAGTGACTTCTTTTATGGGATCTTAAGAGGGTAGGAGGGGAAAGAAGAAAGTGTACATGTAAATGTGCTTAATGCTACTGAACTCGTTTCCTGCTTTTTGTCACATCCAAAGATGAAAGCACTTCAAAAAACTTACAAGATGTTCAATTTTCATCACATAAGGGAAGAACCACACACCCTAAGTCATTTCTCTTTCCAAGATGACTCCCATCATCAATCAGCATTTTTGGGGTGGTGATAGAAAGTCCTTATAAGGCATTTGCTCTCACGTTTTAAAGTTGTGGGAAGATAGCCATGCAATACAGGCAATACAGGCAATGAAATGCCAAAGACAGATCAACAGAGTGTAACATTATCATCAAGCAACTTATAATCAAGTATAACTGGATATATACATAAAAATTGTGGTTATTACTGTTATATATGGTGTATATCTATAATCTGTGTGATGTTAAGCAGCCAAAATAAGTACTTCTGAAATTGGTTATTTGGAAGTGAACGTAAAGGGGGAAACAAAGGATGTTCTGATTCATCAGAAGACACCTGATAGGAAACCCAGGGAAGTGGGCAGCATGGCTCAAAGTCTGACAGCAGGACCGTGACTCCTTCTCCCTTCTATTTTTTCTGAGAGTTAGTCACTGGGTAAGAAACTGTAAATTGCAATTAAGTCCATGTGTACTTGCTGGGCATCTTCTGTTTGCTATCTAGATCTACTTTCTACCCTTCTCCACATTCTTCTCTGTCCTTGGGAAGGACCTTTCTGCACTGCATCAACAAGCTATTTTGTCCTCTTGCTTGTCCTTAGGGTTAATCAGTGGAATGTACCCACAGATTAGAAGGCAAGAAGGCAGTGAAGTAAGTGTGTACATTTTCCTGGCTCCTTCTCAGCCAGATCTCTGTACATGGCTGTCTTTCTACCAAAAGTAGCTACAAATACCCACTCTGAGAGTTTTGGGTAAGAGCTCTTTCACTTGGCTCTTTTTAGGCCTAAAGTGAGGTAGTTTCCCAGGGTTCCTAGTCACAAGGTACTGTGCCATCCCCTGACCTCTCCATACTTGTAAAAAGAGTCAGTTTGAGCTGCCATCCTGACAGGGACTGACTGGTAAAGGGGGCTTATTGAGGTTCTACAATAGGCAGTAAGTATGACCAAAGACATCCATGATGGAATTAAAGATAAGTAATTAAAATGGATAGCCTCAGGAGGGTTCCAGAATTTATGTCTCTTGCCCTAGTCTAGTGCACAGGAAATAGAACGGGTGGGTTCCTAGAGATCTATAGTATTGTGGAAACTAAGACTGAAGCACAACATTGACTATACTGCAAATACTATCTCCAAAGAACCAGAAATCGTTATCAACTCCTTGTTTAGTACAGTTAAGCAAACCATTAGTTAAAGATAGTGGAATGGAATGATCGACTCTTTGTCTTCAGCCTTTTGTACTGAAGGTTCCCTGTCATACTTTGAACTCATTGTAGCACCTATTTATTCTTCAAATTCTCAGCTTAGCAATCTGTTTCTCAAGGTCAAATGCCATGTTTGTGATGGAGTCAGAACTTAAGCCCAGGTCTTCTAGTTTGGAATTCTGTTATATTTACCTCTATTTACATACATACAGTGAGGCTAGTACCATTGTGGGCTGCAGACCTACACTGTTGGACTGTTGGAATGTCATCTCAATCATAGGCAAGAGGCTCTTTTTAAAAAAAAAAAAAAAAGAAATTCATTTTAACTTATTTTTTATGAGCATTTTCCAGTACATCCAATAGTCTGATGCACATCTTTCTCAAGCCATTGGAAATATTACTTATGAAAAGACAATCTCTGATCATAAAGTGACAAGTTTTGGTATACATTTAGATTTTTCATGTGACAGAACATACTGACAGTAACTGAAAAAGCTTCTGTCTGCATGCAATTTTTGCTTTTATTTTTGATTTTTGGTGATGAGAACTAAACCCAGGATCTTGTGTATTCAAAGCATTTCTTCTACCACTGAGCTACTATAACTTAGTCCCTTGATATTTTCTTTCTAGAAATTGGATGAAATTTTTTATCCCTTTTGAAAAATATCTTCAGAGTATTTTATTATGTTGCTTTTTAAACTAACTCTTCTAATTCAATTTCTCTAATGTCAATTTTTACCTGAGAATAGATTAACCTAAACAATTTAAAGTGAGATCAATTGAAGGGCTGGGGATGTGGTTCAGAGGTGGACCACTTGCCTATTGAGTATAAAGCCCTGGGCTCCATTCCCAGAACTGGAAAAAAAAAAAGTAAGGTAAATTGTGAAATATTAGAAAAAATCTAAAATACTGGGCAAGGACAAAAGATATGTGATCAAAAAGTCAAAATCTTGGTGAAAAGCATCCTGGATGTGGTTGTCTATATAAATTTCTGTCTCCTAAAGGTTCCACATTTCAATAGAGCTAAGCTTACCACAAAACTAATTGTTATGAATGTTTCAGATTCAGAGGAATTAACCTTGTCCAAAATGGTTCTTTCAGTGATGAAAAAAGCATTCTTCCATAATTAAAATCAAGAAATTACTTCTAACTTGATACTATTAATGTAACACAGAGTTTGAAAAATCAATGTAATTATCTATAGCTCTACTTTCTCTGAGATTTCCTCATTTCTGATGAGGTAATTCATATTTAGAAAAAGCAGTCTATCTGTCTGCTAATTCCTCGTAGGATTGGTGTTATTTTTATTGCTGCAATACTTTGGGTAAAAATCAAGATCCTACTTCTCTAATATATTTTCACCAATTGTGTATTACTAGGTAACATACTAGGAAGATAATGACTTTTAAGGAGCTCAGATGACCTTGAAATAGAATATATAGAGTATAAAGCACATCACTATCATAAACATACAAAGTAATAATCAACAAAAAAGACTCAGGTTACAGAGTGAAATGTTAAGAGGTTACTCTGGTGTGGTATGATTATAGGAGGTGTTATTTACTTTCCAAATATTCTTCAATTAACATATAATTAATTAAAATAAACACTTTAAAAAGAAAAAGCATTTTTAATTATTTATAATATAAAATAGGAATTAATACAAAATGATGTGCTATGATTATAACATGTGTATACATATGGGCAAAAGAGAAAATAATTGATTTGCAGAGTATTGGAATGGTGAATATTTTTCTCTACATTAGAGTCAGAATGTTGTGTGGGGGGAAACAAATTGTACAAAAGGAATAAAATAATGTTAAATCCAACCCAACTGCAAAATTGGAAGGTAGGACACTGAAAGCAATGAACAGTCTTGCTGTACACACAATACTATATTATTCAAGAAAACTGTTCCAATATTGTAGTTTACTTTTTTGTCTTTTATGAAAGCATGAGCAGAAAAGTTTGGTAGGGTGTGTAAATTAGAAGAGATGCTGTAGAATAGGTTGCTGAAGCCATTTTCTTTACCTTAAGTCAGTCCGTGTGTTATACAGGCAAAAAAATGGAAATGGGTATAATCCAATCCCTATCTACCACTAACCAGATGTCTATTAGGAATGAGGAAGTTCCAGAGACAATGATACAGAATACTTGAATTCTATAGCTCTTGAGATTCACTTTGGTCAAACTGACTTTATAGCTGGACAAAACTTTAGCTCTCTGAACTTGGTTAGTCAAGCTTTCCTAATGTCTGTAGGTCTGTCTTTTAAATTTCTTAAAACCATTCCAGATGGAAATATTTCCAAAATTTACGTTTTAGAAGGACAGAATCCAATTTACTTAAACCTTCCTTTTAATGCCCAGGGTTATCTCTATACATACTGATTACTATGCCATTAAAAGTCTATTGAGGTATATGTGGCTCTTTTTCTCTGTATTTTTGGCTTCAGGATGACTGGATTTATTTTTTTCAGTTTGCTTTTATGTATTTTTTCCTTATATTTAAGGAATAAATTCTTAGGAAGGGTTCACAGGGCTGTATTATTAGTTAAACAGGATTTTTAGTACAGACTGTGAAACATCAGACTTTATCTTTCTTCCTCCTGGTCCTTATCTGTAGTTCAGGCAGGTGCTAAGCAGCTGAGATACAACCAAGTGTCACTAGATAAGAAAAGATAATTTGGAGACTGTTTCCCAGCCTAATTCCACTAATGCTCTTGTCTTTTGTTGAGTTACCTTTGGTCATCAACTCCGTTTTGGCTGCTATTCAAGACAATTCTCCAAAGATCTGAGGATACCAGTTTCTTCTGGTCATTCACAAGATTGATGTCCGGCAACTGCAGTTCACAAACTTTGCTTTCAGACAGACTAAATTCTCGAAATGCAACAAAAACCTTCTGGAGTTCATCCCAGTATTCCAGACTACAAGGAACCTATGTCAGAGTAAAGAAAATTTTACAAGTTATAAATAGGAACTAAGCTTTTGTATATGTTGAAATGCAAATTAAACATTCATGGAAGTTATGATATTAAGACTTTGAAAGGAGGATAAATTTGTAAAAGACAATGGTGTTTAGAATTTTTTTTCATAGTTATCTCACTCTATTTTTTTTATTTTTAAAAGACCCACAAAAAATAGACAAATTTTTCTGAATAAAAGCAAAATAATGGTGACAAGTCCTACAAGGTGTTAAGTGTACTCTAAAGCCATGAAAATTAAAAGATAAGGCTGGAGTAGCAACATATGAATAAATTAAAAGAATAGAATGAAAAGGTAAGTACAGATGAAATATTAGTATGTAATGAAGATGTTCTTTCAAATAAGCTGGCGACAGATGGAAAATGTGGTTTAGAAACTGTCTAGTCATTTGGTGAAAACAAAATAGTCCCTACATCATTCTTTACACAAAAGTAAATTCCAAAAATATGACAATGGTAAAAGCTAAAAAAATGAAAGCATAGAGGGAAAAATATCTGTTAGTGTTTTTGTTGTTGTTTTGTTTCTGTGTTTTCTTTTTTTCTTTTGTAATTGGGCAGTATTTCTTTGTATGCAATGAAATGCATGAATGGAGAAAAACTATGATTGATTAAAATAAAATTTAAAAAAGCTTACTGGGATAAGAGGAAATATTTAATGACAGATCAAGGAATATTTGTTCCAATGGCAGAGAGCTCTTATAAATCAATGACAAAGGGATAAGCAAGCATACAGAAGAGAGAAATGCACCTGCTAAGCTCCGTGGTCCTTAACTGTACCAAATATCTATTGTATACATAGCATCCCCCTTGGGCCCTTCTGCATCAACTTGTGGGACTTGGGGAGCAAGAAGGAACCAGTGCAAATATGATGATCATGCTGTGTACTGTGCCAAAAGCAATAAAGATCTTTTTTTCTGACCCAAGAGTCTTCTGTTTTCTGCTAGCATACATGAAATATTAACAAGATAACTTACTAGCTTGCACAAGGTAAAAACCCCAGACCCTAACAGCAATTAGTTCACAGAAGAAATATAACAGCCAGTAGACATGAAAAGGGACTCAATTAATACTCAAAAATATCAATGAAAATAATAGTGTAATATTTTTATTTATTAATTTGGCAGTTTAAGAGGACTAATAGTTTCAATTTTTGTACAGGTGTGGGAAAATTCTCCTACACAGTATTTTTGGAGGGCAATTTAGCAATACCTATTAAATGCTTATATTTTTATCTAGGAAGTATATTTCTAAGAATCTGTTTTATAGATTCCAATGCAAGGGTGTGTGTATGCATATATATGTATAAATACATATATTATGTGATTGTACATATTTACATACACAGGAGTAAATATAATATTGTGTGTATTAGAAAATTGGAAACAACTCAAATATCAATGGGGGTTAGTTTTAGATCTACAAAGTGGACTACTATACAACCATTAAAATGAGTAAGGAATATCTCTATATACAAACACAAAAGATACCCAGTATATATTACTATATTTAAGAATATTAATTTTAAAACAAAAACATGGTGTTTGATCCTGTTTATCTTAAAAATAGAGAGAGGGGCTGGGTTTGTAGCTCAGGGGTAGAGTGCTTGCCTAGCATGTGTGTGGCACTGGGTTTGATCCTTAGCACCACATAAAAATAAATAATTAAAACAAAGTACTGTGTCCATCTACAACTAAAAAAATAGAGGGAGAAACAGATAGAAAGACACTTGTCTCATATGTGCTTCCTTTTAGAAGCATTCCCTAATGACTACCCTGAGCTGATCACTGCCTCTTGTGTCATCTCTATTCCTAGTCCACTCTATCACAGAGCTCCTTATACTCTGCAATTCCTGACTTACATGTTTGTCTCTTTTACTAGACTCTGAGACTCTTGAGGGTAAAAAGTCCATATTACTTTAAAATATGTTGTGAGCACTTAACACAGTTTGGAAAACATAATATCTCAAAAAAGTTTCCTGAGTGAACAGATTTCTCCTTAACCTTTTTGTCCTAAATAACCGATCTGCCCCCTCCTACCCTGGTAGTGCCAGGTATCAAACCCAGAACCTCATGCATGCTAGGCAAGTGCTCCAATACAGAGATATATCCTCAGATCCTCTTGATACTTAATCTTTCAGTGGCAATATATTTACTTCCGCTTACAATGAAGTTTCTTTTCTTTAAAAAGTGAGTGAGCATTCATATATGAAGAGATGCTAGATGGAAGAAGGGAGAACAAAACAAATATATGTAAGAGACTAACAGTACAGTAAAATAAATGCACATGTTTTGGATTTTGATAAATAACATACTCATAGTATTCTGTATTTAGCTATCATTTCTTGAAATTCTCCTTCTTGCTATCCATGGCATAATTTTCTCTTTCTCTCTCTGGGTAATTATTCCTATATTCTCTCTCAATCTAAAATCCCTGTACACTCTAGTTTCTCACTGTCTAATGTCTAAATCCTTCCCATTTATCAAGGACTAAATTAGATGCTACCTTTCTCTGGGTGTTTTTACCTCTTCAGATGGAAAAACTCTCCCCTTTCTAAATGCCAAAATTTAAAAATAGGAATCTGTTTCGTAGTTCGTATCACTATATACCTCAAATTACACTTATTTCTATACAAGGTATCTTCCCTGGTAGATATATTCCTTGAGGGAATGATTTCCATTTGGCTAAACTTTGGATTTTTATAGCACATGGGATAGCACATACAACAACTGTTCAAAAAGAGTTGCTGAATGAATAATTCATAAATGAATATATACAAACTCAGCCCATTTTTGGCACATTAAAGAATCTCTACAAAGTACAAAAGTAAAAACATGAACTTTGCAGTCAGACTTACTGGGATTCAAATCCTATCTCCATTTATAAGTTCTTGAGCAAATTAATTTTTCTAACATCAGTTCCTATCTCTCTTTAAAAAAAGGATTTTAATAGACCTACTCTCTATAAATACATATATTATATATCTTGTGTGTTTGTACATATTTACTGTACATAGGAGTTTTTGCAAAATTAAAACTGCCAGGTTAGAAAAATTACTGCACACAGTAATTTTTGCAAAAATTAAAGACCTTAAGAAATATTATCTATTATTTATCTTCCTCATGCTTGAAGAATTCTCCTGAAGGAAGCTTTATGTTATGTTGTAACTAAAATCAGGTGAGTCATAAGAGTCTTGCTTATTGTTTCCTAACAATAGGTTGTCTGAAAAAAAACAAACCTCAAACTCAAATGTTTGGAAATATTATAACCGTAGGTTCCATATGATTTTCTGCTGCATGCCTGTCAAACTAGCCTTCTATGCATACTATAATTATAATGTAAAAAATTTCATTGCTTAACTTTTCTTTAGATTTCTAGTGATCCTGCTCTTTGTTTTAAGAGACTTCTAACCAAGGATGGAAGAGATGTGGGAAGTGAGGTATGAACCTCTAATTGGCAATATAAGAATCTCAGTGGTGGGGCTGTGGCTGTGGCTCAGTGGTAGCGCACTTGCCTGGCATGTGTGAGGCACTGGGTTCAATTCTCAGCACCACATATAAATACTTAAATAAAATAAAGGTCTATCAACAACTAAAAAAATACTTTAAAAAAAGAATCTCAGTAGAAGAAGTAAATGAGTTTAGAAAAAGTAACTAATAACTAATGATTTTTCTGTAATACTGATAATGGAATGGAATGTTCAACATAATCTTTTTGTGGACAGATTACAGAGGAAAAAAGAGTTTGACCCTGGCATTGACTCCAGAAGTTCTATATTAGAATTAATATACAATAGCTAGTGAAAAGTTGCGGTCATACTGTAAAGCAGAGTAGGACCTTAAGGAAAAAGTACTATTAACTTCTGATGGTGTTGGAATTAGTCTATGACATAGGAAAATTCACACTGGAAAGTGTTATGGGAAGCCAATGAACATGGACAGTACCAACACAAATTGGGGGAAGGAGGAACTGTGGGAGCTCAAAAATGTGCAGGAAAGCTAAAGAAAAACTTTATTTAGTTCACAACTTGTATAAGGCTGACCCTATGGTTATACACTACAGTTGGACAACTCTGAAATTTCAGAAAACAATAGAAAACTAGTACAGAAATATATCCCAATACATATTAGTGTTTGTCAGGATTTTCCTTTTTGTACCCTATTTTCATTGGTTAATAAAGGGTATTAATAAATTTGCTCCAAATGAAATCCCTATTAAAAACAAATTTATACCTGAAAGCACATTTACAAGTCACACAGTTACCCTTTTTTATCCTATCATAAGAATATATACTATCTTCGGCATTTAAAAACAAATGCTAAAAACAAGTATAACAAGCATTTTAAAGGTAATTTTATTCAATCATCCATTCAAATATATATATGAGAGAGTGCCATAAATTTATAAAATTAAATAATATAGGTGATAATATTCACATTACCTTATTTTTCCATCTACAATAAAAAAAAACAAAAAACCTCACTGGTATTCTACAAGAGATAACATTCTGGTCTGCCACTTAAATCACTGCTCTATGACTTTGGGCAACCTATTTAACGACCTAAGCCACACTTCTCTTACTTGTAAAATGAGGGTAATAAAACTTACATTTTAAAAAGTATAATTAAGGAGGACTTTAAATCTTTAGGTCTATTGTATGCCTTTAAGGGTTTTAAATAAAGAGGTGATATAGTTAAATTTACATTTTTCAAAGATTCAGAATATTGTAGAGAATGGATTTTAAAAGGTTAAGTATGGATGCAATAAGACCAATTCGGAGCTCTGAGCTAGAAATGGTAATAGCTTAGAGTATGGCTGGTGGCACTGAAGATTCTTGGGATATAAAATTAGTAAGTCTAGTTGATTGATCAGATATGAGAAGTGAGAGGAAATTATCAAGGATGCCTCCCAAATTGCATGCATGAGCAATGATGTGGACACTGATATCATTTCTGAA